TCCAAAAGTGCGCCAAAAGCGGAATTTGGCGCGAATTTGGAGGACTTCTTGTGCAGGAAATGGTTCCACGACTTGATCCGCGCCATAGAATGGGAGCAGAGGTTGTGTTCGGCGGCGAAAGACGTCTGCGATTACGGCGCGACTCTCGTGGCGCGAGACATTGTTCCGCGACTTCCGGAGGAATGTCTTCAGTGCGCGAGAGACCACGCGTTCGGACAGCGCAAGCGCGTCGACGCCAACGTCACGGAAGCGGAAGTCGTGTTCGTCTTGGGCTGCGATCTGCGGTCACGTGACGGTCAGCGATTGGTCGCGAGTTTGCGGCGAATGGCGAACGCTTTGAAGCGCGAGTTCGCCGGAAGAGGCGTTCGGACGCACTTCCGGTCAGTCGTCGCCATCGGAGACGGCGTTTACCGACGCTTTTGGCCGAAATCCGAGTCCGAACTCGACTTAAGGCGCGTTCCGTTCGAAACCCGAAATCTTTCGCATTCTCTGGACTTCCTTTTCGTGACGTCATCTCCGGAGCGACCGCTCAGTCGTCACGTGATTCTCGTCGAGTGCGCCGTCGGGTGCGCAGAGGACGCGTTGTTGGACTTCGGGAGCGCGCGAACGCATCTCTTGTGAGCGGAAGTGGAAATGGAAGTGATTTTGAGGTTAAAAACGCTTTTCTTTCAGAAATCAAAACCTTTTTCTTCACGTCTTCACTGAAAACGCGTTTAAAATGCGGTCAAAGAAAGCGCGTCACGTGATCGGAGTCGACGCCGAGCGCGCCTTCGTGTCCGCATCCGGAGCCGCCGATGACGTCACGGCCCGCGCTCTCCGCCAATCAGTGTCGGCGTCGCGAGACTTGTGTCACGTGTTGGCGCTCGAGACCAATGGAACCGTTTTTCGCACCAAAAGTTTGAATTCAAAGAAGTATTCACTGATTGGCCGAAAGTCTGCCGAAACACTAATCACGTGATCTCTTTGCCCGCAGTTCTCGCGCTCTCATCGCCCGTCGAGTGGCCGACAATCACGTGACGAACGCCTGTTTCGACTGCGACTGCGTGTCGGCCAGAGATCACATGACGGCTGCCGTCGAGTGCCGTCTGTGCGCCGAACGGGCGGCGACTGTGGGTTTGGCGGCCAAAGGGACGCCATCTGGCGGTCACGACGTCGTCCAGGAGTGGACCGAAGAGGACGACAGGGATGACGACGAGGAGACGATAGACGACGGCGACGACGACGAAGCGGTCGACGAATAGACGACACGATAGCCTTCTATTGACAACACTTTTCGCTCTCTATTTTATAACCACTTTTATGACCACAAAAAGCACTTATTATTCGATAGTATTTCCAAAATAACGGGTCTTTTGAATGAAATAAAACTTTTCGATCGAAACGACAAAAACTCTTTTCGAAGACGACTTTCGCGACAAAAACTTTCGGAACACGTGTCGACACCTGTCGGCCAATAGTTCCCAAAACGGACGACACAAACACCCGAATCGCGCGACAATTGGACCCAAAAAAAGGGAAATAAGTTTATGGAAAACGTATGAAAAATAATTTAATGAAAAAAATAAAGAAAATAAAAATAAGAGACAAATAAGTCGACAAAAATATGACCAAAAAATAGTGTCTTTTTCTCATTAATAATTCATATAATAATTAATAATAATAGTTATGATAATTAAATGCAAAAATACTGTCATAAAAGGCACGAATTGGCGATCGATTTGTTGTGTATTTTTTCTGTTGTTTTTCGTAATTATAAAAAACGTTTGATTTGTTTCGACGACAGGCAGACGACGGAGGAGTCGTGTCGTCGTCGCGACCGATACGACAGAAGAGGCGACAGTCGGGACGACACGACAGCGACAGACGACGAGACGAACGGTAAGAAAATGATAAGAAAACATGATTTAAGTGTTGTTTTGGTGTTTGTGGTCCTAAATGGAGGACTTGGAGAACGAGACCCTCAGGTGCGACGACTCGGACAGTCTGCGGGGAAGGGAGGGAACGGGCGGTTAGTCGTGATAGCGCGGGAACGGGCGCACCGGTAGCTCTACTCACTGGTAGTTATGCATTTTGATGAGCGCGTGAATGGAGTCGTCGACGGACTGGAGCTGAATGAGCGCCATCTTGCGGTCTTTGGGGAAGAACTTGAAGGCCACGACGGGAGCGGCGGTTTCGCGCGTGAAGGCGGCGCGGATGTCGTCCTCGTGGACGGAGGCGGGGATATTGGAGAGATGGAGGGTTGCGGAGGGCGGGTAGATGTTGCCGAAGTTCTTGGAGCCCGGCTTCTTGAAGCGGTGCAGCGATGACTGCGAGAAGTCTTTGGTGAGGCCGGCGTCCTGTGGGGGAGACGACGACAGGTGTCGGTCAGGACGACAGCACGACGACAGTGTCTACGCGTCTACTCACGTGTTGGCCCTCTTTGGGCATTTGGACCAATTGGTGTTTGGAAGGCGTGACGCGAATGACGCGTCCGGACAGCTTCACCTTGTCCAGGTAGGTCTGTGCCAACTGCGCCTGCGCCGGTTCCGCCATCTGTACCAACGCGTTGTCCTTCTTGTTGAAGAGGATCTTCACGCGAATGACGTCTCCGTAGACGCCTATAGAGAGACAACAGTCAGACACGACAGACGACACAGCGATAGACACAGTGAGCGACAGTTGTGTTGCGAAACAAAACAAAGGAATAAATACCGAAAAGAGTGAAGAGAGCGTCAGTTGTCGTCGTCTTTAGGCGTCGTTTAGAGCGACAGAAGAGAAGAGAAAAAACAAATAAACGAAAGGAAAGCGAAAAAAACGACAAAAATCGCAAAATTAGTGATAATTACGCTTTCGTTGAGATTGGAGACGAGAAGAACGGCTGAAGCGCCGCCCAGACCCCCGCCGCCCATGCCGTTGGCCCCGAGCCCCAGGTGGGCGCCCAGTTGGCCCAACTGCGAGCTCTGGAGGGCGTTCAGGGCGTGGATGGGGTTGAGTGCGCGCAGCGTCTGCTGATTGATGGGAAACGCGGAGAAGAGCTGTTGCGCGCTCTGCGGGTGTTGTGACGGGTGTTGCTGTTGGCCGAGCAGTGACGTCATGAGCTGGTCCTGCGTCTGCTGGTTGACAGCCGCCATCACGTCGTGCGCGTTGTTGTGCGGGAGCGCGGGGTTCGTGTAGTCGCGCGACTTGTCATTGTTGTACTTGACGTTCAATTGTTGCAGTTTCGAGAACTCTATGCGAAGAGTGTTGGCGTTCGGGTGGAAGAGGTTTTGGCCGTCGAGCAGCTGTTTGGCGCTCACGGCGTCCCTGCCGTCCGCGAACTGGATGAGCGCCTGGAAGGAGCCGTTCTTCGTGAACGTCACGATTTTGGCCACTTTTCCCGCGCGCGAGAACACCGAATGCAAGATCTCGAGCGACACCGCGTACATCAGGTTCTCGACGATCACTCGCAACACACACGACGGCTCCCGTGACGTCCCGTTCGTCGCCGGAGACGACGCGCCGTCCCCGTGGACGACACCCAACGACGACATGTGATCGTTCTGCAGGTTGTTGTGCATCACGTGCTGGCCGTTGGTCTTCAGCTCCTTGTGATTGGACAGCTGGCAGAACACGTGACGGCCGCGGATGTTGGGCTGCATCGGTGACGGAATGCCCGCCACTGTCGACGAGAGCCAGAAGTTCACCATTTGTTGCGCCGAAAGCGCGTCTGCGAACTCCACGAAGGCCTGCGACTTGCCTGCGGGCGGGACAGGGGGAGGCTATAGCGGGAACAGGAACTGGCCGTCAGTCATGTGACTTACCCCTGAGGATGAGACAATTGGTGACGCGTCCGAAACCGCCCGACAGTTGGATGAGATCGTGTTCGCTGGTGTCGAGTGGAATGTTGCGGACGTGAACCACACGCGACTTCACCGCCGGGTTGGGCACGACGGGCGGCGCCCCCCGCGCGCTCTGGTGGTGGTTGTTGTTCACGTGGTCCTCCTTCTGGTCGTACTTCACTTTCTTCGCGATTTCGTTATTGTTTTCAGTGATCGTGTTGTTGTTGTCGACGACCAGCGCGTCGTCCGTCGTCTGTTGGGCGACGACGCCGTTCACTGTCGTCCCCGTCGTCGTCATTGGCGTCGTCTCCGTCTTCACGGCTACGTCTGTCGTAACGGCCGTCGAGTCCATCGAGATTTCGTCGGCTCCCCTCTTCGCGCGGGTGTCGGAGAGTGCGAGAGAGTGGGTGTCGGAGAGAGTGAGCGACAGAGAGAGCGACAGAACGACAGAAGAGAACGACAGGAGAGTCGTGAGAGAAGAGAGAGAAAAAGGAGTCAAAAATCGGATAACAAAACAAAAGGTATTCAACAAAACGAGTGTAAAATTAGGCAAAAATGGGCCCAAAAGCGGACATTCGGCCGGAATTGGCGTAAAAAAGGTGTAAAACTCGTGTCAAAAGTGTAAATAAAATGTAAATAAATGGTTAAAATTGGGCCAAAAATGAGAGAAAAAAGTTGAGAACAAAAGACGAGAGAAGAGAAAGAAAATGAGTTTTCAAACAAAGAAACTCTCGTTTGAAAGGTGTGTCCAATGGGAGCGCACTGACAGCTCTCCACAGCGGCACTCAGAGCGAGAGCACTGGTAGGCAGAGAGAGGGGACAGGGATGCGAGCGCTGAGAGCGTGGGTCACGTGACGAGTGTTCGCCACTCACTCGGAGTTCACTTACTTTTGTCATTATTTCAGCGAAAATTCGCGATTTTTGCGATTCATTCGTCTCACGAGACGAAAGCGTTTTTCGTTTCCGTTTCCGTCCGAAAGTGTGTCCAAAATGTGGCCGAAAATCTAATTGTTGTCGCAATTCATTGAGAAAACTAACGCTTTTCGCGATTCGCGTGAAAACAACAATCCCTTTGACAGCAATTCACTGAACGAAAGGACAGCCATTGCCGCGACTGCGCAGAGGGAGTGGCGGCGGATGGAGTCGTTCGCAGACGCAGTGACGCGCGGCCGACGCCCACCCCCTCACAGAGGGGAACGTTAGTTGCGAGCGGGACAGGGAAGGGCTGTCCGGAGAAGGGGTTCGCCGTTTCGACCGCTTTTACGCCCGATTTCGGCCGCAAATGAGCGCCAAATGAGCGGCAAAAGAGGCGAAAGTTTGCGGCAAAAAAAATGTTTATTATTTTTGCGTTAAAAATAACTGCGATTTGTGTCCAACGCATGCGCACTAAACACATAAATAATACACAGAAATAAAAAGCAATTTTTCGCTCAAAAAGTGTCAAAAAATGTCTGAAAACAAGTCGAAAAACAGGATCTCTTCGCGCGAATCCTCGGCCGCGGCGGTCAGTAGTCCTCCGACGCCCTCCGCGGCCGCCAATCAATGGATCGAAATCCTGGAGCCGAAGACCAAAGTCCAGATGTTCGCCAATCTCATCACGTGAGTCCTCATGACAGTCCTCTTGAGTCCAGTTCACCACCGATTGTCTCCTTCCTCAGCGGCGAGTGTCGTTGGGACGAACCCCGGGGTCAGGGAGTGGTCATCTCGCGCGCCACGAATCCGGCGCTCACCCAATGGTGGGAACTATACGTGAGTGTCATCTCTCGTCGTCGTGTCTGTTGTCTAACGCGTCGTCTCTTTAGGACACAAATAGTCAACGATTTTATTACTACTGCGCGAAAGACTCGAAGACAGTGTGGAAGCGGCCGCAGACGCCCGATGCCATTGTCGTCCCGTTGGCTAAACTCCAGATACTTAAGCAAAACACCTGTTCCTCGCATCACAACAACGACAGGACGACTGCGGGGACGACAGCGACGACGACAGCGAAGGCGACGGCAGAGGTGTCGACGCAGACGGAGCCGCAGCTGTGCTCGCGATCGACGCAAACCATGACTTCTCTGTCGCCAAACCAGACGACAGACTACTTGTTTGAGAACTCCTTCCGAAACCCGAGTCTTAAGTGAGTCCTCGTGTCAGCCGTTTGTCACTCAATCTGATCCCCGGTTTCTTCGGCAGACATTACCTGATATCTGAGGCGCGTCTGACGCACGCCATGAGAGTGCGAGACGTCGGCCAAGAGTTGGACTTCGACTCCAATGACGACGACTTTGACGACGTGTTGGGCGACGACGAGTCGGACCTGTCGTGCGATGCGGACGACGAGTACGACCACGACTACAGCGACGACGAGGAGGACGTCTCGGACGACAACGATGACGACGGCGGCGACAGACCGGACGGCCGTTCGTACGACAGTCGACACGACAACGATTACGACACACCGGACGACGACTTCCGTCGCCGGTGTCGTTACGACGGCAACCGGTCGTCCGTCAAACAGAGGCAACAAATCAACAGTTTGTTTGCGACGACAGCGCCGCCCGCTGTCAGCCCTCTGATGGTCGCCAGCAGTCCGACGGGCAGCGCGTCGGGAGGCGTCGGCGGCCAAGCGTTCGCCACAACACCGCCGGCGCCGACCAAAAGCCATTCATTGACTCAAATCTCATCGAACTTAAGCCGAAATTGTGTTCAAAACAACGTCTCGTCGAATACGACGACAAATAGTAAACGATTGACGACTACTTTGACGACACCGTCGCCACCGAAGACGACAGCTGTCGCCGCGACCGTCGCGCAGACACTGACGCTTCAGACGCGGCCGCAGACGCCGCCAAAGAGTCGCCAAATCAGCCATACGTTGTCTCTGATGCCGACGCCGGCGACGACAAAGGAGACGACAGCCAAGACGACGGCCGACGCCAAGACGGGCGACAACTCGTCGACGCATCTGTCGATCGAGTCGTTCGCCAAAGAGAACATTGAGAGGCACCGAAAGCCCGGTTTATTCATTGGAAAGAAGGTCTCCCTGAAGGCGATGCTCGAGTGGTCGAAGAAGTCAATCAAAAAGCCGATGATTTCCTCCATAAGTGACCAGAAGTTGAGACACGAGTCGAAACTGATGTTCAAATTCGTGCAAAAATTCATGCGCGACCTGACGGTAGACGAGAGGACGACAACCGGCGACAGGACGACGACGACAGCGACGCACGACGGCGTCAATAGACACCCGTCGCTGGCCGTCGCCGACGACACGGATATCGCTGTCTATCTGCTGACGACAGCCACTCAGCAGCCGATCCTTCGCGACGAACTGCTCGTTCAGATCGCGCGCCAGACGACGAACAACCCGTCGGCCGACTCGGAGGCGCGCGGACTGCGGCTGATGTGCGCGTGTTTCTGGTATTTCCCGCCGTCGCAGAAGTTGGCGCCACATATGGCGGCCTTTCTGTCGTCGCACGCGAACCCCTACGCGGCGGAAGTCGTGCGCCGAAAGTTCGAGCAACAGTTGCGACGCTCCCAACAGTCGCACGTGGTTTACGTCCGCAAACCCCACGACCGCGAAGAAGTGGCGCGCGTTCTCCGCTGCGTCGACAACGGCTTCGTCGGCGTCTTCGGCGAGTCGTTGGACGACGCGCTCGTCGACAGACGTCTCATTCCGTGGTGAGTGTCGTCATCTTGTCGTCCTCTCTGTCGTCGTCTCACTCTCTCTATGTTTAGGCCAATAGTGTCGCTGACGGAAGCGCTGCTCAAGTGTCGCGGAGACGACGGAAGCGATTGTTGCGAACGAGAGGGTGTGTTCCGATGCGTCGGGGATTTAGACGAAGTAATGCGCCTTAAGATCAAAAGTGAGTCCAAAACCTCTTTTGCATAACACGTGACTAACTCTCTGTCGTCTCTCTCGTCGTCCTTTAGTCGACACTGTCATCACTCGCGACGACGTCCGCGACTCTTATCACGCGCTGGACGTCAACCCGGACGACATCCACGTCATCGCCTCCGCTCTCAAACTCTACTTCCGCGAACTGAAGCGCCCTCTCGTGCCGTACGACGTCTACTGGGAGGCTCTGGACGCCGCCCACGACGCCCTCCGCGCTCAGCGATTGGTCGAGCGCTTGCCTCTGACCAACCGATACGCGCTCTCGTATTTGATTCGTTTTCTTCAGGTCTTCTCTGCGCCCGAACACGTGATCTACACGAAGATGGACGACGCGAACCTGTCGATGGTGTGGGCGCCCAACATCCTGCGCGCCGAGGGCGGCGCCGCCCTCCACCCCGACGCCTCCCTCTCGAACATCTTTGAGCGCACGCGCGCCGAGATGTCGTTCGTTCGGACTTTGATCCAAAACCTCGACACCGGGTTTATGGCGGGCGTCCAGTAGACGACAGTGTCGTCGCGTCTGTCGTCGTCCGTAGACTAGTCTCGCGTGCAATCAATGAGTCATTTATTCGTTTCATTAATTAAATGCAATTTTATTATTCGTGTGTTGAATGAGATTTGAGTTAATTATTGGCAATAAATATAGCGTTCAATGAGTGCACGACGACGTCGTCAGTGACGTCACTGTCGTCGTGTCGTCGCCGAAGTGTTTGAGGAGAATATTGCGACAGTTGGCCAACAAATGGTCGCATTCGACGCTCGAGAGACCCGTTTCCAGCAAATAGTGGCGCAAAGAGTGACACAACTGTCGAGAGAAAGACATTTAGAGAAAGACTTCTTATTCTGATTCTTGAATACCTTTTCCAAGTGATTGACTTCGAGGCCGCGGAAGCGTTTGATTCGATTGGTTATTCGGACGCGAGAGGCGTGGCCTTTGATCTTCAAACACAAGTCTTGGAGTTTCGCCAAAACCGCGAAATGGAGTTTCTCGCGCCGCACCAGAAGTGGCGGCAATTCCATCGGAACGCAGTACTCCTGCTGCGGAGGAAGGGATCTGTGGTCAGCGAAAGGGAGCGAAAGGAATGCGTTTTGCGCGACGAATACCTGTTGCGAGTGTTTGTCGGAAACCCAGAGGCACTTGAATTTCGAGACCAAAGCCGACGTCCGATTGGACGGCGCGTCGCATGACGTCATGTACGGCGAGAGAATGAACGCAACGAACGGCTGTCCGTTGGACTCGCGCGAGAAGAGCGTCTGGAATGCCGTTTGCGTCTCGAGATCGCGGAGGGAGGGGTTCGGGACGAAAGTCGGGTGCGAGTGATACCATCCGACGCATGCGTACGACTTCTGCTCCAAACGCTCCTTCGCGATGGCCTGCGATACTGTGGACGACAAGAGAGACGACAGAGTGAGCGACGGAGAGGACGACAGCTGCGACTCATACCGGGCTCCATATCGCATTGGAGGTCGTGGTCGTCGAGAGAAGCGCACGGCTCGGCCGTCAGGATGAAGAGCTCGTGCGAGAGGGCGCAGTAGGTGCCGCCCAACAGTCCGATCACTTCCGTGCGCACGCAGTGGGCGTGGATGTCGATGATGGCCAACGCCTCCATCGACAGCCGGACGGCGAACGGCGCCTAAAGGGTAGACACGGAGGGCGTCAGAGCGACGAAACGCGTGTGACGTCACTCACCTGTTCCGGAGCGTCGAAGGTCTCCAACGGAACCAATTTGAAGGGATTCGGTCGCGTGCGCGGCGTTTTGGGCGCCGGCGGCGGTCCACCTTCGCCCCCACCCGCGAAGGGCGTGGCCGGCGACTCGTGGCGTCTTTTTATGGCGCGCTTTGGCGTCGCTTTTGATTTCTGCGGAGAAGTCGTCTTTAATTCGCTTTTTGTCCACAAATTGATGGCTTTATGCGATTCCAAGAACTTCTGGACGCGCGAGAAGGCCGTGACGTTGCCTGCGGGAGACAGAGGTGAGAGGGGCGTGGCGGGGAGGGGCGGGAGGCGTGCGATACTGACCAAGGTGCAAATGTCCGACTTTCTTCAACATCTCGTGATATCCGAAGCGTTTCGGTTTCATTGCATTCCAATGGCGGAGAAAATGGTTCCGAATCTCGCGATACGACTCCTAAAGAGAGCGTGAAATCAATGGACGGAAAAGTCTTCGCAAAACTTACGGGACTTTTGCCTTTCGTCTCGCCGTCGAAGAACTCGCGCAGAGTTTGCGTCTCGTATTCCGACGTATTCTCCATCGAAATCGTCAGCCAATCGCCGGACGCCAAACACAACCGGAAACTGTTCTCCGAGTGCGTCGTCTCCGGCGACGCGTCTGTCGTCGCGTCGGTCGCCGACACGACGTCCGCAATGTCTTCGACGCCACTACTGGTCGGCTCAGCGCTGGTGGGCGTCGAGGCGGACGACGAGGACGACACGTCCGACGACAGCGGTGTCGGCAGCGAGTCGTCGGTCGCCGGCGGTGTCGTCGCGTCTATCGCTGCGGTCGTCGTCGTCGTCGTGAGGGGCGAGCAGTCGTCGAGAGGCGGCGCCACCGACGACGCGGCGGACGACGACTCGCGCGACGTCATCACCGACGAGCCTATCCGTGGGTCAGACAAGAGATCAGAATTTGCGGTCATTTTGTGAGACAATCGGCGCCGAAGAGTACCGAAGTCGACGACCAGCGGAACCGTTGGCTCGCACTCGGCGTCCGACTCGATGCCGGAGTCGGTGTTGCCGTTGAGGGCGCGGACGGCGGCCATCGCTTCCGAAGACGCGTTTTGTGTCGTCTTTTTGGGCGAAGTTTTGCGCAGAAAATGTCCGCAAATTTGGAGACAAAACACAACAACAGAGAAGTGTTTTGACGAATATTTTTTCGACGGCTTTTCGGCTCAGATTTCGCGCAGACTTTTGGTCACATTTTTGGCCCAAATTTCGCGGAAAAATCAAAACGTTTTGTAAAAAAGTTTTTCCTTTTCTTCAAACAAATGATTAAAAAATTGTTTTTTAATTCAATAATGAATTCAATGCAGAGATAATGTGCGCGACTTTTACGCCAATTTGAATGACCGCCACTTTGGGCCCTTTTGTTAGTACGAGTAATGTGTGCGCAATGTTGTGATTTGTTATCATAAAAGGGCCCGAATGTGGGACTCGTCATACAAGTGTAGTTTTCATTGACATGTGATTTGAGGCGCAAATGCTGTCCAATGAATGGACACAAGAATTGGCGCTAAATTTGAATCTCTTTTGGCCGAAGAAGAGCCGAAGAAGTGCTCGAAAGACATGTTTTTCGGCGAAATTTAATGATTTTATTACGAAATGACAGAAAATACAGAGAAATCCGAGATTTTATAGCAAATAATGTTTTTAAGCGAAGACTGAATGCGACGACAAAAGAGACGACAAGAAGACGACGACTTATAGAAAGAAAGAGCGACTCTTTGGCAGACATTTGACCACTTCCTCCGGTTTGACACCATTTCTCTCCTTCCGATTGGGAACTGCTTTCAAGTGATGTCTTCGGCGGACATATAGGACGACAATAAGCGACAGACAGACGACAAAGAGCGCGCAAAAGGCGACGAAAAGCCAATTTCTGACGCTTTTGTCGCACTCTTGGTGTCCGCAGTCCTGCCATTGGGTGTCGTTTGCGGCGAACGGCGGCACAAAGGCGTCGATGGCTTGAGTCGAGCGGTTGTCCGCCTTTTGACAGTGGATTTGGACGTATTTGCGGACACAATGACGCCATTGGTTGAGAGCGCAGCAAAAGGGCCGCGAATTGTCTTCGGAAGACGTCTTCTCAATGAACTCCAAGTCTTGTGAATACAGTTTTCGGCACTTTTTGAGCAAAACTTTGGGCACTCTTTGCGCCAAACAGTGTCTCAGAGGAGACGACGCGTTGTCTTCCGTCGCGACGATCGGCGACACGACGACGACAGAGACGACGAGGAATACGACGAACGAAGACATTGTTTTGAAGAGATTTCGTAAGAAATTTGTTGTTTTCTATGATTTCAAGGCTTTTGAGAAAAACTTTTTATCGCTTCTCGTAATCAATAAATACTTGAAAACAAAGGAAAAAACACTTTATTTGAAGAAAACAACGCTTTCTTAAGGGAAGAGACTATTGACTATCGCTTCAGTCTTTTCGGCGGCGATTCTGTCCTTTTGTTCGTTCGACGAAAACAACAGCAAAACCGAAGACCAGACGATATCTGCCGTTCCC